TTTCTTTCTTTCTTTCTTTCTTTCTTTCTTTCTTTCTTTCTTTCTTCCTTCCTTCCTTCCTTCCTTCCTTCCTTCCTTCCTTCCATCCTTCCCTCCCTCCCTCCTTCCTTCCTTCTTTCTTCTTCCTTCCTTTCTTTTCTCTTCTTTTTCTTTTTCTCTCTCTCTCTTTTTCTCTCGTCCTCTCTCTCATTCCCTCACTTTCTCTCTTTCGCTTAAACTGGTACCAGCTTTGAGTGGGCTGTGCAAGGTGCACATCACTCCCCTTCCTTCCTTCCTTCTTTCCTTCTCTTTCTTTCTTTCTTCCTTCCTTCCTTTCTTCCTTCCTTCCTTCCTTCCTTCCTTCCTTCCTTCTTTCCTTCCTTCCTTCCTTCCTTCCTTCCTTCCTTCCTTCCTTCCTTTTTTCCTTCCTTCCCTTCCTTCCTTCCTTCTCCTTCCTCCTTCCTTCCCTTCCCTCCCTTCCTTCCTTCCTTCCTTCCTTCCTTCCTTCCTTCCTTCCTTCCTTCTCCTTCCTCCTTCCTTCCCTTCCCTTCCTTCCTTCCTTCCTTCCTTCCTTCCTTCCTTCCTCCCTCCCTCTCTCCCTCCCTCTTTCCTTTCCTTTTTTCTTTCTCTCCTTTTCCTTTCTCTCTCTCTCTCTCTCTCTCTCTGTCAAACTGCCCCGTCCCTTGAGCGAGCCCTGCGAGCTGGGTGCGTACGCGCGCGCGCACACGTGTGTGCATCCCTCCCTGTGTCTTTCCTCTCTCCTTCTCCTCGGCTCCGCAAAGGGGTGGGGGTGGAAAAAACAAGGGGAGCCTCCGGGGGGGCTGTGAGGCCAGTGTGGATATGTGTGTGTGGGGGGGCGAAACGATGCCTGATGGGACCCCACACCCCCATCCTCCTCCTCTTCCTCCTCCTCCTCCTCCTCCCTTGGGGCCCCTTTCTCTTCAGCTGGCCAAAGTCACCATCGTGGACCACCACGCCGTGGCCGAGTCCTTCATGAAGCACCTCGAGAACGAGCAGCGCATCCGGGGCGGCTGCCCGGCCGACTGGGTCTGGCTGGTGCCCCCCATTTCCGGCAGCCTGACGCCCGTCTTTCACCAGGAGCTGGTCAACTACCAGCTTTCCCCAGGTTTCCGATACCAGGTGAGTCCAACCCTGGTCCACCCGAAATCCCCCCGCAGGGGGGGGGGGGAAGAAGACCCCGGGGGGGGGAAAAGGGACTATTGGCCGTATTGGAACCGGTTCGCTCGAACCCATACAGTCTTGGCTGCCTCCATTGAATGAATACAAGAGGAATTGGATGAAGGAAACACACGCGCGTGCACGCGCACACACGCACGCAGAGGAGACTGGGGAAGCGGGGGGAGGGGGTGTTCCCCCCCCCGAGGGTTAGAGGACCTCTCGAAAGACTTCTTGGAGGATGGAAAAAGAAGAAGAACCCGGGGGGAGGGAGGAGGACCAACGGATGGGGCCCGAAAGTGGGTGGTGGATGAGGGGAGAGGAGGAGGAGGAAGAGGAGGAAGGGGAGGAGGAGGAGGAGGAAGAGGAGGAGGAAGGAGGAGGAGGAGGAAGAGAAAGAAGAGGAGGAGGAAGAGGAGGAAGAGGAGGAGGAAGGAGGAGGACAGAGAAGGAGGAGGAGGAGGAGGAAGAAGAGGAGGAGGAGGAAGAGGAGGAGGAAGAGAAGGAAGAAGAGGAGGAGGAAGAAGAGGAGGAGGAGAAAGAAAGAGGGGAAGGAGAAAGAAGGAGAAAGGAGAAGTAATAAATATAAAGGGAAAGAAGGAGAAGGAGAAAGAAGGAGGAGAAGAGAGAAGGAGAAAACAGGAGGCGGCGAAGGAAAAAAGAAAGAAAGGAGAAAGGAGGAGGAGGAGGAGAAAGAAAGAGGGGAAGGAGAAAGGAGAAACGGGCGGTGGGCAAAGAGAACAAAGGACCAGGAGGAAGAGGAACGCCCGGACTTCCAAACGCCGGCCACCTCGGACAGTCGCAAGCCCGAGGACCCCTCCGGAGGTCCTTTTCCCCGCCGCCCTCCCCTCCCCGCAGCCCCTAAACCAACGGGGCAGTCGAAGGACCCAACCGCTACGGACGGCTTGGAACGGGGCCCCCCCCCCCTCGCCCGCCCAGCGGAGGCTCTCAGACCTCCCCCCCTACCCTCAGGAGACCCTCCCCCCACTCTCTCTCTCCCCTCCCCCCACCCCTCCCCCAAACACAGGCTGACCCCTGGAAGTCCTACATCCCCAAAGGGACCACCATCACTCGCAAGAAGACCTTCAAAGAGATCGCCAAGTAAGTCCCCTTCCCCGCCTTTTACCTTCCGTCGCTCTCAGGGGGACACCCCCCTCCCCTCCCCACCGTGTCCGAAATCAGGACCCCCTCCCTCCCCCAGCGCCGTCAAGATCTCCGCCAAGCTGATGGGTCACGTGATGGCCCAACGGGTCAAGGCCACCATCCTCTACGCCTCGGAGACGGGCAAGTCCAAGGCCTACGCCTTCCGCCTCAAGGAGCTCTTCCAGTCGGCCTTCGCCCCCAAGGTGAGACCCGGGCCGGGACCTTTCCTCCATCTTGGGGGGGGGGGGGGAAGAAGAAGGGGGGGGGGGGGGGGTGGGGAAGCCCTTCCTTTTTTAAAAAAAAAAACAGATTTTATTCATGTTTTTAAAGACAGACAAGACAATCAGAAGATCAACCCTCTTTTCCTGAAAGGTCGTCGTAAATGTTAACAACACGAATTAAACCTTTTCTATCTTCCTCTTCTGTCTTTCATTCTCAAATTCTCCTCTTCTAACATTCCTCCCAGGTTTTATGAATCAGACATAAACACACAAAAACACAAAACATAAAAAAACCTCTTTCCTGAAAGTTCCTTGTAGATTTTAACAACACGAAGAAAACCTTTTCTATCTTCCTCTTCTGTCTTTCATTCTCAAATTCTCCTCTTCTAACGTTCCTCCAAGGTTTTATGAATCAAACATAAACACACAAAAACACAAAACATAAAAAAACCTCTTTCCTGAAAGTTAATTATAAATTTTAACAACACAAATAAAACATTTTATACCCCATTGACCCATCTCCTTATAAACCCACACGTATCCTTTCAAGTTTCTCACTATTTCTCCCTTTACTTTTATCCAATTGCATTTCTTTCCTACATTTATCTCTTTTATATCTTTTCATTCACTATACTTTTTTTCTTCCGACTTGCTTTATTCTCTTCACAAAACATAAAAAAGCATCTTTCCTGAAAGTTCATTGTAAATTTTAACAACACAAATAAAACATTTTATACCCCATTGACCCATCTCCTCATAAACCCACACATATCTTTTCCAGTTTCTCACTATTTTTCTGTTTACTTTTATCCAATTGCATTTCTTTCCTATATTTATCTCTTTTAT